TGAGTTTAGCAGCGGGGTGAGATGCGAGGCAACAAGTAGCACATCTGTTGATTGTAGGAAAACAGCTGCGGCCGGCCGGCCGACCCGCGGTACAGAACGTCAGCCTCCTCCTGCAGAATCACAGCATGTTCTGCCTCCACGCCAGCTCGAACTCTTGGTGACGATAAGAGCCTTTTTCTGGTCGTAAAGCTCGCAGCGGAGACTGATTGTGATCTCGTTTCGAAATGGCACGGTGACCTCTTAAAGAAACGGTGGTGGACGGAGCGGGGAAGGCGAGGAGCAGCGAGTCCTGTTCTGCTAAAAGCAAGCTCGGACTCGTCGCTGGTCTGCAGCATGTACATGTATACATACAGTTTATACGCACAAACAGGATCCAAATCTGAATACTTTACTCCCTCAAATTAGCACTAGAACTCCCTAATTTATTTTGTGTGTTTCTTATGAACATTTATGCTCTTTGTATTTGCTAAGCTGGTTTTGCTGGGAAAAATCAACCAAATTTAAGCTAAAAAAAAAACAATAATATGTCTAAATTTGCAAAAAAATAAACAGTTTGCACAAAGCGGATTCTCCAAAAAAATAAAAATTCTTTGTTTCTCAGCACAATCATGAAGCGATGAATGACTCAGCTGTGACCAACAGTCACTTTGCAAAAAATCCAGAACCTTTTAGCTGAACTGGGCTGAATCGGGCCTTTTTCCAGTATTTTTTCACACTTTTGTGAAAAATATTGTACATGCCGATTCCATGTTTTTTTGCAGAATAAATTATCAGAGAAATTTGTTTTATGAGATTTATTTATTATAACTTTGTGATGCTCAGTTGTGGGTTTCTCCTGACACATACACTCTCTGGCCATCATACCTGTGAAATCTAATGCAATCCAATATAACCGCTTTGCCATAAAATCTACTTTTATGAAGCTTCTTTGTTATCAAAAAGGTGATTTTTTTAAAAACTTTAGGTCTGTTACTGATGTCATAGTAGGTGGTGGTCGTGGTGTACTGGACCGGACCCCAATGACACGCATAAACATGAAGTACAATCAACACCATTTTTAAAAAATAGCTTTTTACAGGAGAGCTGTTGCATTAGATTACATTAGATTGCATTGATGTACATAAGTGGCGAGGTTGAGCATCAAACAAGCATTTCTGAAATGTTTTGCCAAGATTTTAAGAAAGCTTTCAGCAATCGCAGGTTCTGCTAAACTAAAAATACCCGTATGTTTTTAGATATATATGTGCTGTTATTTGCATCATGTTAGACCCGAAACTGTTAAGAGAAATGGTTTTTGTCACTCTTATCATATAGGACATCTGAATTCCAGCCCGTCAGATCTGCTTCTTTCCTCGTCTTAAATAATTTTGAAATGGCACCGTGACAAACGTGGAAAAAAAAAAAAAAAAGCCGAGGCACAACTCTGACATGGTACAGAACGGAGGGCGTGGCGGCGGAGGGAACGTGTCGAGGAGCAGCGAGTCTCGTTCTGCCAAAAGCAAGCTCGGACTCGCCGCCGTCCTGATGACGTCATAGGACGGTGTGCAGCGCCGCGGCTCGAGGCTGGAGGATGGGCGAACGCGAGGCGGAGACACAACAGACCTGGAGGGGGGCCGACGACGTGCCAAGGTTGAGGTGCAGTACGTGCACAAGTTCATCTCAGCCTTTGGCCCTGTGAATCGAGCACGTCACACTTCGCTGGCCCGGGCTGACGCAGGAATGAAGGATAGTGAGCAACACTTTAAAGCAAAGCTGGGCTCAGTTCAGCGAGTTCACGCCGTGTTTTCAAAGCATGTTTAGCCTCAGCGAGAGCCAAGCCGCGAAATCATGCAGCGGCGATCGTAGTGTTTGTACTCCTGACTCAATGCAGAACGAACAAGAATGTGGATGAAACAGGAACATTGTTTCATACATCTAATGAGTATTTTTGCTATCTTCAATTGATCCAATAATTCTTCTATGAAGTGTCAGAAATTATTGATAAATATTCCATCCGATGACATAAAGGAGTGTTTAAAGCGACACTATTTTACCTTTAAACACCAGCTTTTAATTATTTTTGGATTAACTTGGATGATCGGGTTTGATCTCCCAGAAAAAATGCACTTAAACACTTTGAGTCCAACATAATGATTGACCAATAACATCAGCCCATATTGGTCTGCTACAGATATATCATTATTGGTGTAACTGTTGTCCAATAAGAAAGCTTTTTTTCTTTCCACACAACATAATTGAAAAAAAAAAAAATGCCTGAGGTAATTTAGAAATAGTGTCATCACAGCTCTGACTCCACTGTTTGTTATAGTCTTAACGCTGTCTGCAGCGCATGTAGCAGAGCAGATGGTGGTGCAGAGTCAAGCGGTGTCTTCATGGTAACTGTCTGTAAGTTATATGTATGAAATACCAGTTTGTCCAGCAGAGCAGCTTCGACTCCATTCTCTCCAACACTCTCAGCGCTATCTGCAGCACATGTAGCAGAATATGTACCAGAGCAGACGGCGGTGCGGAGTGAAGCAGCGTCTTCTCAGTTCTATGCTCATCTATATATAAATATTTATCCTGTGCATGTTTTGTGCAGATATATCAATATTTTTGACCCTTAAACTCTGCATCAACATCAACCTGAAAACACAGAGTACCGGTCAGGCTCTGCGCTTTATGGCTCAAACACCACTAACTATGAATCTTATGGGAGCTAATGGAGGCTAGACTGTTATTCTCAGCATCACCTCATTTCACGGGTAGTAGCCACCTGCCAAAAAAAACTGGAAAAAGACAAAGACTCTCAGCATGAAGACCACGGCGAAGAAAAGTAGATGGAAAAGGAAGTTTGAACAAGGTTAAAGCTCGTCTTTGGTAAAAATGAAAAGCTGTGAGCTTCTTGTTGTTGGGTTTATGTTTGCTGGCTTGGTTAAGGTTTGCAGATCATGAGCTAAATTGATTGAGGTTTAGCGGCTAGTTAGGCGTCTTTCTTTAACTGCTAACTGGTTTCTACTTTGAGTTTCTTAATGTTTGTGGCCTTAATTCTGTTTTTTTTAAATCAGGAGGGCTATTGGTACATTACATTAGTACATATTAGTGCAGACAGCTTCTTGTTGTTTATTGCATGAACAATTCATCGGCTGTGTCCAGGACTATTCACCACTTGAATTTAGAAAACTGCAGAATTTAATGCACCAGAATCCTGCAATTAACACTCGTAGCCACGGAGCTGATGCTGCTGCTGCTCAGTGTCGCTTTAAGGGGCTTCAACTTCTTGTTTGTTGCGTTTCTGTTTGATAAAAATGAGTTGGTAGATTACCACGAAAAAGCTAAAACAGAACTAAATCATGGGTTCCTAAAGCCCACGGTGACATGTCCAACTAACAGCCCAGAATATTTAGCTTAGAACCACATAGGACACAGAACGTCCTCACAAATCAGAAGCCGGACAACGTTGCTGATTGTTTGATCTCGACTTACTGCAAACGTGTCCTGAGGTCAAATTATCAGTTAAACACATCATAACAAAAGTTCAATGTACCATGTGCATTTGCATTCAAAACAACCAGTACTACTTTGTGTAAAACCAAACTCAGGTGAGTCATGCAGCTCCGTGCAGGTGCAGCCGCCACCGCTTTGCATCCCAAAGAAAACACGGCATGTTGTAAATGCATCTACCGGCGTCTGATTACATTAAGATTAGACCAGTCGGTGTTTCAGCATCGCAGCATTTGCATCTTTCCAATCTGCTGTAGTGAAAGGATGCAGCTGAGTACACGGTGAACGCTCTTAGACAGGTGCACTCCGCTCGGCAACTAAACGGTCCGGGTCACAAACACTAGCAACGTGGATGCCCTCGCAGCTCCGTATCCAAGACAACAGATTTGGAGAATATCTGATGAAGTCACTCCAGTGGATTTCAATATTTTATCAGCTTAGCCAGAGGCACGTAGAAAATAACCCCAACAACATGAGAGAACATGCGAAGCCTGTGATGGTTTGCTACCAGAGTGAGACGCTTAGGGTCAAAGTAAAGATTAAACTCAGCTGTTGTTTATTTGTTCTCCTACAGCAACAGGCTGTGTGAGATTGCTGCTGTTCGAGCGGGTAACGGCGCCGACCTCCTCGTTGCCGCTCTGTGAAATCGCAGAAACACAGAGCGGCAACATGGGGAGGGAATTATGAATGGTGCTTTTACCATTTTTTAAAAATTCATCTATGGGGAAAATCCAAATTGTTCTCAGCGGTGTAAAACGAAGCGCACGGAGCAGTTTGAGATAATGCATTATGCATATATTACCTCAGACTCATTTCTCCTTCAGATTACCTCATCTCCATCTGAGCCCCTTTCATTTCTGTACTCTCGCCTCTTTCCATACAGCGTCCTCACGCCGAGGATCCGTCTTCATTTTCATTCAGAGAAAGCAATTGTGAATGCAGAATTCGTCTTGATTTGACTACGTCCAGAGTAGTTGGGGATGCAGAGGCAGAAACCAGAGCTTTGGTTTGTTTTGGGATGATTTCACTGTCTCGTGAACTTGTCTCGGGGACAAACGCATCAACGAGATGCACAACAGCTTGTTTTGCTGTATATTTCTGGCAGGCGTTCCTCCTGAGACATCCGATAACAGTTTAACGTGAGCTCACAAACAGAGTGCCGACGTTCAGACCGCTGGATTTTCATTCAACAAAATGGCACTGTGAGACAACTGCATAAATAAAACATAGAGGAAGCAGCGTGGTCTCTTCTCAAACGTATCAACTCCCGATTAGACAAATCACGTTTGTGAGTTTTCGCTGCCACAAGAAGGGGCAGATCTTTAAAGTGAGGAACACCTATGCATGCAAAGTCACTCGGGATGTGGTTAATAGTGAAATCACGTATGTGCACACACACACACACACACACACACACACACACATGGGCGCGCTCACACACAAACACACACACACACAGGCTTTGCTTCACAGGAGCTCGTGCACGTCCACACAAACAAACATGCAGAGTGTCCAACCTGTTGGGATGTGGTTGAGCGCCGATGTCTTCAGAACCTCCAGCGGCTGCTCCTTTCCCAGGATTCCCTCTGTGGGAGAGAGAGAACATTCCGCTTCAAATATGGTCCGCAACATTGAGACCAGCTTCCAGCAACGAGGCTGCTAAATCAGCCAGTAAAAACCACGGAGTCCGAGCGAGCGGTGCTTCAGGTCATCTGCACGGCGGCGAGCGCATGCCGCGGCGCCGCTACCACCACCTGAGCAACTGCCCGATCCATGACCAGCGAAGCGGCGAGCCGCGGGTTTGCAGAGGTGCCTGGCTGCAGAGGAGCTCTAAAACAAGCTGGAGGGACAGCGAGGGGAGCAGCGCTCATCGGATCGTGCGTGTGCTTGTGTGTGTGCGCGAGTTCGGCGTGCGAGAGCAGAGATGTTGGGGCTTGACTGATACTGCCTGTGCTCAGCATAGCAAATGTGGCTGGCAGCAGCGGCAGAGAGGGATGAGGGGGGATGGAGAGGAGGAGAGAGAGAGAGAGAGAGGTAAAAATAGCTCACCCTTTTGTGTATAACAGCACATGCGGAGCACGCACGCACAGCGCACACACATGCAGACACAAAGACACACTGCGCCGCGCTCCTGTGTGTATGCATGTGTGTCCGTGTGTGTGTGTGTGTGTGTGCAAGTGTGTAGGCTGTAATTATAGTGGCAACATGAAAAGGCTTTTGTAGCTGCCGAGCCCTGGGAAGACATGGCTATAAAAAGCAGAGCGACAGAGAGGGGTGGAGGAGGAGGAGGCGGAGGAGGAAGAAGAAGAGGAGGAAGAGGAGGAGGATGCATCGGGGGGATAGGGGGAGAGAAAGAAGAGGTAAGGAGGGGAGAGAGAGAGGAGGATGAGGCGATGGAAAGATGGAGGAAAAACAACGAAACGGCGCAAAAAAAAGGGAGGAAAGAGGAATTGACATGCAGCCAGACGACACACAGATGCACGTTTCTCTATATATGTAGTATGTATTTTTAGTAATCACAAGCACCTGATCCGCATGTATTCTGAGGCTTAAAGACATCTGAGGCGCGCAAACATGCAATTATTCCTTTGGATGTGAGATGAAAACCCATGTAAAATCCCTTTGGAGGAATAAAAGAGAGGAAAACAGGCGAGCGTCTCACTGTGCATGATCTATTTCTGGAATTCTCCCTGGACCAGACTGGCACATGCACACACACACACACACACACACTTAATTAGCCATGAAGCTGGAGGATGCGTTGTGCGCTGATTATGCATGTGTATTCGTCTCGCACCACCTTGCATGAATGGGCTGCACCCACCACCACCACCACCACCACCCCCCCGCCATCCCCACTGATGCACCAAACCCTGCGAGGACTTGGGTGTGGACTCACGTTCGGTCCTGCTGAAAAACTGCATCCTCTCGCCAGTGATGACAAACTCAACTCATTCAAATTCGGCGAGACGTGCGGTCGTATGTAAAAAAAAAAAAAAAGTGAGGAAACGCTGCGGGAACACACATCCCCGGCTCTCCGAAAACAAACCGATCGATGACAGTTGATATCTCCAGACGAGCCTATTCAAATGACACACACACTCTGCTGCGTTTTGCAATGGAAATGAGGTGCATCTGTGTGTGGTGACACCTGTGGCTTGGAGTAATTCTACGCCGTTTTGTTTTTTTGCACAAATTGCCGGCAGCAGCTTTACATCTCCGACTTAAGTACGGGGAATTAGGAGGGGATGGATGTCTTTGTCTGTGGTTAGTTAGACAAAGCATATAAGCTTTCAGACCAAAACCGCACACTTGATACCTGACACGCACGTGGAGGCGGCATAGGTGTGTGCGAAAACATCACAGCAACGTAAATGGAACCACATATACACTCGCAGAGGAGAAGTGGCCTATACCTTGGCAACAGGGTCCATCAATCTTAAATGTAGCCTAGTTACCCAGCAGCCCCCCCCTTCCTCCCTCCAGCTCCCTCCCTCATATCTTTCTTTCTCTCTTTCTTCTTCATCCTCCTATCTTCTCGGTCCCACTGGGTGAAGCATCGGGAGACGGGGGAGCTATAAATAGCCTCAGCTACCCTCGGGCGGAGAGTCAGTCAACTCAAGCTAATGCAGCTACCGCTCGTCGAAAAAAAAAAAAACATGCGTGTTATGATCGCCGCTGTAAACGGGGGGGAAGGATGCTGGAGTAATGAGCTAACCCTGCGTCCACTGCAGTGCTGAATGCAGTTCTGTGTGCAGGGACGGTGGTGGTGGTGGTGGGGGGGCGGGGGGACAAACTTGACCCGGTCTTGGCGTGGACAGCACACTGCATGTTGACAGAGGCCTTTGTTAAGCCGGAGAAATGAGAATGAGATGTCGGCCCGCGTCGCCGTGGCGTTTACAAAGAGAGACAGTGACAGAGAAAGAGAGGAAGGATGCTCCAGCCTCATTACATTCAGCGCACTTCCGTTCTGGCTGCTTCGTCCAGGGTGACTCCAGTGGGCAAGGTGAACCAGACAGGAACAATACGATTAATCAAACACGCCTCTCCTTGAAGAGCCTTTTCCTCTGGGTCGCAAATTTGCTTCCCGAGGGCACCGGCTGACGTCACGGCGACTGATAAAAGAGAATGGGTGACCCCTGCGTGAGCTTCCACCGGTTTGCGTCCCGCGAACGGTAGGAAGCAACCATCTGACCCTCGTTTGGTGCCGGCGGAGACGGGAAAGCACAGCGGTAACGCAATGTGGGGCGGCGGCGTCTGAGCGCCTCTTTGGGATATAAAAACCACAAATTAGATGGAAATTGGTGATTAAACGGCGGGCGTCCGCTGCACATCCAAAACGCACACAAGTCAGGAGGGGAGGTTAAACGAAGAGACGGAAAAATTCAACCTACAGAGATGTTGAAACAAGAAAAAGCACCGACGAAGTTACTAAAACTCACGCATGAGTTTAAATATGACTGATCAACCACAGGAACCCTAAAGCCCTGCCAGCAGCTTTAAAAAGAACATCAGTTTTCAAACAATAACCAAAACGACACCATTATTCAGAGCTAGAAACTAAAAACAGCACGAATAATCGGATTTTCCACTTTACGCCATCCTTGAACTCAAGTGAGCTTCGATTACTTTGGGAAAAATAACAAATATTGTTGTGCTGTTTTAAAAAAATGGTCAAAAATAAACAGTTTAGAGCGATCGCATTCTGAAAAAACAGAAAAATTTACGCTACTAAGCAAAACTCAGACGCCAGTTTTGACTCGGCTGTGAGCAACAGTCACATGACAAAAATTCTGGGACTTCGTAGTATATTTTTACTCCTTTTGTAAAATCCTCTTTTTACCCTCTGACCCTGAAGCAGTTTCTTCTTCATGTTCTTTGCTCCTTTCACTGTTTGCTCATTTTTCACTGCAACATAAAGTCCTGCACCTCTATGGAAACGGCACAAAATGGCGAGAAGTAGGAGCAAAGTTAGAACGTCATGGATTGTAAAAAATAAAAAGTCAAAAAACGCATTTACACAAAAGCTGCAAACATGCACAGCTGTACCAATCCTGTAACAAATAGGGGCTCTACATATTTATTAGATATAGTGTTTTAAATAGTAATCACACTTGTCTCTTATCTGCTTTTTGCAAACACAGAATGCAGTTCAGACAAAAATTCGCAGCCAAATCTCAACCGACTTCACGCTTGCAAGATTTTTTTTGATTTTTCCAAATCTGGATTCTGCAAAACTGTTTGTTTTTGGTGAATTTTATTTATAGAATGATGAAATATCAAGATTCTACGCTTATATTTGGTTACGTTTTCCAACTGATAAACTTAAAGGATCGTCGGAAAGTTCAACGTCGGATGATTTTTTCCGTTTTTCCAGTTTGAAGCTCTGACAAATTGTGTCGTTTTTGCCTTTTTCTCAACGTGCTTTTCAAACCCACTGCCGGCTTTCGGGGGTCGAATGGTTGCTGCTGTGAAGAGTGAGCCCCTGATTTCTTTTTTCCAAGTAGCTGAACATGAATAAGTGATGAGACTGACCTGCCTATGTCACTTTTCATGTTCATTAAACCACTTCATCCAGAAGGATTGAGTGCCGATTCTTAATTGTTGCTAGGAGATCTGTGATGCAACCGTCAAGCCTCACAACAACAAACGCCCACAACATGAGACATCGCAGTTGGTCTGCACCTACTACGCGCTTCGAGTAACAGGTGCACATTTTTCCCACAGCGGGTATATTTTGTCTTTCGAGTCGACCCAACTTTGAGCCGCTTGCGTAACAGCAGCGTTTCCTTGATGCCCCGGCCAGACGTCCGTGCTTTGTGTCAAGCGCTGCGGACCAGCATGTCAAAAGCCACAAGGAGAGGGCTCTGAGGCAGCAGTGTAAACCGTAATTGCCGCTGACAGCTCGTTGGCAGAACACAGTGTATCCCGTTTCTCGGCTGGGACCGGACAAAAGACGCAGGGACAAGAGATGCGTCCCATTCCTTTCATTAGCTCGTGTTCACTCTCCCCTGTCTTTGTCCCTCATACCAATTAAAAAAGAAAAAGAGCTTTTCTACCGGGACACCACCCCTGTGTAAATGCCATGATTAGGTGTTTTTTTTTTGTCCCAGATGGGGGGGAGGGGATGGGTGCAGCGGGACAAGGTTGGGTGCTGCGCTTCATTTGCACAAGGACAAAGTGAAGCATGTGCACACAGGGGGTCAGCCGTTGCACAAGACACCCCCCTGGGTTTGTTCCCGGGATGGGCTGTTAGTCATGTCCAGCCAAGTCGGTGGCACATGGGGAGGACGGAGTTGTCTGGCTGGCAGGAACCTCATCTCTGTTCACCGGGTTCAGCAAACTGGAGCGAGAGAGAGAGGGAGGGAGAGAGAGGGCGCGGCATTGTGGGAACACGCCGCTCAAGTGCGTTTTGCAATCTGCCCACAATTTCGTAATTTGGTTTTGTTGGGGGGGGGGACAGAAACAACATGTCAGCACAAGTGGACGGCAGACAAAAACGTGACAATGAGGCTCGAAATTACCCCTCGATGAGGCTCATGCACCTATCACAATGACCACAAAAAGAGGCGGCGGTCGTGTCACG